TGGGCAAGATGGAGGAGCTAGGGTGGTGCTGTGGACTCCAGGTCCCTGTAAGCTCCTGCAAGCCAAGTCGGGATGTAGATGAAAGATACTCTGGAGGATGACCCCAGAGATCCAGCCCAGGGGCAACAGGCAGGTAGGATCTTATTCTGTCTTCAGGAGACTTAGGGTAGGGTTCCCAGGAAGGTTTAGGTGCTGCTAGAGGTGGATTGGGGACTTTTGAGAATTCTGGCAAATCCCCAGGGAAGGGATCCTGAGCATAGTGATTTGAGGGTAGAGAAAAGTAGCTATGCAGGGTAAGAAGTGGGAGGGGTGGGTGGGAGAGGAGTTGAGCCTGAGGCCGGGATAGTAGCCATGACGGAGAAGGGTTTCCCTCAAGGCCCTCATCAAATGATGCCCAGAGCTGTGCTGGCAATAGCACACACCTACACTGTGCCTCTAGCGTGCACCCAGCCTGCTTGGCCTCAGCGGCTAGAGTAATGACTGACCAGACTGAGAGTGAGGAAGAGTGAGCCTTAAGGTTGGCAGTGGTGGTGCATGCTTTATTTCCAGCACTTGGGAGGCAGAGGCAGGCAGATCTCTGAGTTTGAAACCAGCCTGGTCTACAAATCAAGTTCCAGGACAACCAGAGCTTCACAGAGAAACCCTGCCTTGGGGATGGGGGTTAGCTGGTCACTAAACAGGTCCTGGGCAGTCCCCCCAGCATCTTCAACTCCTACCAGAGCATACAGAGGATGCTCCCCCCCCTTAAGTCAGGGTTTCCAGGGAGGCTCTTTATATCCAACTTAGGGAATATAGTATTTATGTATACATACAATGTGCTATACAGTCTATTTTTGCAGCTTTCCTGGTATAGCCCCTCCCTCAAAAGCTGCAGAAAACGAGGCCCCACCCCCACTCCATGGCTTCCCCACCCCACTCTGCTGCGGAATGAAGAAAACAGGAGTGTGGAACTGTGATGTGGCTGGTTGAGGGGGGGGACTCCCCATCCCAGAGGGGCTGACCTCAGCCTGGGAGGAATGTGCACGAGGGAGGGAGGGAGGGAGGGAAGGCAGAGGTGGAGCCAGTAGGGGGAGGGCCAAAGCGAAAGGCCCAAAGCTCCTGGTGGTGGCCCCTCCTGCCACCCCTCCACCTCAGCTCTGACATGGTCCACTGAAGGGAAGGGCAAGAGGCAAGGAGGGGAGGAACTGATCTTTCCAAAAGGTGGGCCCGGGGGTCCCCTGGACTATGGAGACCAGGCTTGGGGTTTGTGGGTGGGGAATGTCCTGACAGACCCTCTACTTTTCCCCAGATCGCCTGGAGGCAGGTGGTATACTGTTGGGGGAAGTTAGGCTTCTGGGCACTCCTTGTGGCAGTGCCTTACCATCCCCTGGCACCAGGCTTCAATCCTCAGAGTCTCATGACCTAGTGTGTGCATGTGGCCGGTGGGGGAAGGAAGCAAGGTGGAGCCGCCAGTCTTGATTGCAAAAGCAGGTGTGAGTAGGGAGCCTGCGATCCCACCCAGCCCAGGACACTGGCATGACCCCCAGCCTTCATCAGATGGGTGTTGGGTGTGCTAGGGCAGCCACCATGCTACCACAGGGAGTCCAGGCATGGTGCAGAGGGGTGGGCTCGATGGTGAGGCGAGGTGGGCAGGCAAGTGCTGTGACTCCGTGCAAGGATCCAATTATTTCCAAAAGGAAAAGGCAAAACTTTGGTAGGCTGTACCATCAGTGGGCAGTCCACAGGGAGAACCCAGGCAGACCTGTGCTAGTGGGTGTCCCCAGAACAGGGGTTCAAGCGGAAGTAGGGACCCCAGCTTCCTCTCTGGGTTTCAGACTCAAACCAAGACTGCCTTATTCCAGAATCTGACTGAGACACCAAGGTACTGACACCTGAAGTGCTGCCTCTTAGGGGACCCCTCCCCTAAACCTAGCATGATGAAATCCATGACTAGGGAGCAGAAAAGCGATCTGTGAGGAGCCTGCTGCTCACCTCTTACTCTTCAAGGGAGGAGATACATCTACAGGAACAAGCCACCTGGCTAAAGAGGGCTGGAGGCAGTACATTCCCTCAAGCTGGGAAATGAGTCTCCTGCTTGTCAGGAAGATGGTGGGGGCTCTGGTGCTGTCTCCTGGTGTGAATACCAGGGCTGGTGCAGGGCGTAAAAGAGTAGAGATTGGGTCCCTGAGTCTGGAGAACTGGAGTCAGTCTGGGCAGACCAGGGACAGCGCAGGGGTGGCCAGGGGCCTCAGCAGCACTTGCTGCTGGGTAGAAAATTATAAACAGCCAAAGAATGTTGGTTGTTTGCTTGCATGAGGCCAAGGGAGGCTGCCCAGGTCCTTAGAGAGAGGCAGCTAGCCCAGGAGCAGGGCAGGGCCTCATCCTAGAAACCTAGGCTCCTTTCTGAACACCCCTGGACCATCTCCCACAGCGGCTAGACAGGTAGGCCAGGAACATTAGATCCTAAAGCTCCTGGAGAGATAAGTCTCCCCTTATCTCTGTCTGTGTCCCCTTATCTCTGATTGGATGACATCCAGGCAGTATGTAACAAAACTGCACAGTTGAAGTGCCACAGCACCGTGGCACACAACCATACACCCGTGGCTGGAGGCCCTCTGACCCCTGAGGTCAGTCTTGGGGAGATTGAGGCAACATCCAGCCCTTTAAAGTGCTCCCAAGAGTTCAAACAGGGAGTGGTTTTCAGGACAAGCTATACAGCCAAAACTCAAGTACTTCCCAACCTGGGCACCAGAGTCAAGTGTAGGAGTCTGCCCTGTCTGAAAACAACTGGCCCAGCCCCTGAGAAGCAGAGGTAGGTGAAGCAAGAGTGGAAGGCCATCCTTGACTAATGGTAAGTTCGAGGCCAGCCCAGGCTATAGAAGACCCTGGCCTTCAAACAAATAAAAACGACCCTACAAACCTCCCTCAGGTACTAGGCTCTGGGTTTGATGGACAGGGCAGTCTTGCCAGCTTGGAAGAGAGTGGGAGTCGATGGGCCATCCATCCACCTTCCCAAAGTCTGCCCCAAGCTCCAGGCTAGCTGGGCTCTGAGGATGGGCCCAGACTCTCCGCAGAAGCATCTCCTGAGCCTCCCCCTCCTCCCCCTTCACTGCCTGGCTGTCATTGCAGCCACTGCGAGGGCCAGACAGCTGAGGCCCAATTGGTAAGAAAGTGACAGACTGGGCCCCAGAAGAGGAGAGGAGAGCTCCTTCCCTGACCTCTGACCCACTGTCCCAGCCAGCTCCTGGGAACTGAGCTGCTGCTGAGTATGCAGTCATCCCTTAGCTGTGGAGGGACAGGTAAGGACCCGGAGTGCCTGGCCCACTGCTCCCTCTGCCTTCTGCACAGAACTGTCAGGGATGGTCTCAGCTGATTTCTTCCTGCTTTGCCTTAACTTACTGCCAGGTTTCTGGAACTACCACCTGGGGCACCCTTCACCTTGAGACCCAGCAGGAGAGGGCCATCTCTACCTGCCCAACCCTTGCTCTCATTCCGCTCCTGCGGGGCCACCGTCTCCAGCCAGTCCCAGCTGCCTGTGCCGGTCACCCGATCCACCCTGTAGCCCTGCAAACTTTATGGTATTCTGGGCGGTGGCTGGCCTGGTGGAGGCGGGGGCTTCTACTTAAAGGAGCCGTCAGAGGGTGCCCTGTGGTCCCTAGCCTGCTTCCCTTCCCCAGGACAAGAGTGGTCAAGGTGGGAGAGACACCTTTGCAGAGTTCTTGGTGGAGTGTGGGAAGGCACCCGTGTCAGCCTCACAGACTTCTAGAACCTGAGAAGCGACTCAGGCAAGTGGGAGCAGATGAAAGGAAAGGGGCGGGGTGGGGGTGGGGGGAGACGGGTCCTGACCTGGGAGGGGTCCAGGAACTGGTGCGTGTGCGTGGGGGGGGGGAGAGTGAAGGGAGGAGAGATCTTTGACCTACCCAGCAGCTGATTTCCTTTTTAAATTCACACTGGGACCTTGTCTCGTGTGCCCAACTTGTCCTGTGTGTGCCTGTGAAGGAGGACCACAGGTGCCAGAGCCTGGCTCCACCTGAGTGTGCCAGGCAAGACGTCTGGTTCCGTGGAGGGGCTCAAAGACAAGGAAACCTAAGATCCTGAAATGGCAGGGACCTTGAGGGCAAATCATTCTTCTACCTGGAGCTTAAAGTCACCAGAATGGTCACCTCACAATGGCCTCAATCCTCTCTAGAGTCTCTGCATGCCTAGCTCCTTCTACCCTCGGGCTACAGAGAGGAATCAGTCACAAAACTGGGCCTGCTGGATTTGGCCTGGGTCTGGATCAGAGTCCTAAGAAGAATAGATTGCGCTTGTCAACGGAAGTGATTGATGCGCTTTTTGTGTCCACTTGCATGTCCACCACGCATGTACACATGCCTGTCCAGGCACACATGGGATTCATGTACTGAACAGGCACATTTAATGCTGGTACACACTGACTAGATGTATACACGAAGCACCATGTGTAAGTACACAGATTTGTATACCTCGACTTACATCTACATAGTGTGACACCTGCTTGCTCATAGATGTTTAAACATACTGACAGGTATACATACTGATAGGTTCATGTATGTGTGTTCACAAAAGGACCCTCAGAAATATATTCATATCACCCACAACCTTGGATCCAGTCCCAAAAGTGCCCGTGCATTTCCCTGCCGGTCTGCGGGTACACAGTCACCTCCAGAGGCCTCACCCCCTCCTCCCAGTCTCCTTTCAGCAGCTGCTTTGCTCTTTGCACTTGGTGCCCTCTGAAATGACCACAGGATCTGACTCTCTGTTGGCCCTTCAGCCTTTACTGCCTGGGACCTCCTCTGCATCATCAGTATCCGTGTCTCTGCCCCAGGCTGGCATGAAGTGGGTGCTCAGTGTTTGTGAATTAATGTCTGTGAGTGTGTGTGCAGAGGGGAG